GTAGCTCCAAATTTTTTATAGTTGTTTGCAAACCATTCTAAAAGGGGCATGCTTTCAATCAGCTCATGTTCCTGTCCTGTCTACATAAGACCATGAAATACAAAAACAATGGGATTAGGATACATCGAGGCATAGCCGGTTCCTTCAATACCCTACCCACCATCACTCTTACCATCCCACTCACGATATGTACGCATACATGTGCGTACAATGAACTGAATTCTGGTTTCTGGTAACTGAATTGAAATAGTGAGAAATTCTGACTGTCTCAACACTCCTTAGCCTCTAGCCTTAGTAATGAAATGTCAACACACTGCATCAGTGGTTTTTCAACTTGTGATTCCTATTGTTGACTCCAGAAATCAGGCTGTTGCAGTATTTCTATGTAACACTCATTCAACATCCTGGAAGAGACATGTCACACCTGCTTTTGGAAGTAGCCTCGTAAAAGACAGAGTCCTCCAACTCAGAATTTGAGAAAGCTACCACTTAAGGCCATCTTGTATGGGAAGGTAACATGTTTAGTCTTTTTTTTTTGTATCGGGGATTGAACTCAGGACCTTGTGCTTGTGAGGAAGGTACAGTGCGACTGAGCTAAATCCTTGGCCCAAGGTAACATTTTTAACTGGTGATGAATTTAGACCACACTCAGAGAGACACCACTGCACTGGAAGAACTGAAAGTGAAGAAAGCAGCACAGATTTAGCACAGAAGCACTATTCAAATTAAACCTTCCTCTCAGTAGGGTGTGGTAGTGCATGCCTGTCATCCCAGCACTTGGGAAGCTAAGGCAGGAAGACTGAGTTTGAGACCAGCCCTGGCAACCTAAAGACTTAGCGAGACCCTGTCTCGAAATAAAAAAATGTCAGAAGTACTGAGGATGTAGGTTAGTGTGATGGCCTTGGGTTCAATCCCCAGTACCGCACAACCCCTTCCCTATTACAGTGGACCCTTGACTTACGAACTCAATTCATCCTTGAGGGCTGGTTATAACTGAAGTTGGTCAACTGCCTTCAAAGTCTCTCTCTCGTATAATTTTAGGCTACACTTTGTGTCTTAGAGATCTCAGTATCCTTAGAGAGACATTGGCCCAGGATTTCTCTCAATTAACCCCACACAGGAAAGGATGTTGTAATGTTCATTCCAGAACCCTTTAAGGGTTAAATCTGTTTTTTGTTTTGGTACCGGGGATCGAACTTGGGTCCTTGGGCTTGCGCAGCAGGCAGCGAAACCACTGAGCTAAATCCCTGGCCCTAAGGGTTAAATCTGTATCTGAGAGCACCTGGAAGCACAAGTGGCCAGCATTTGGGTTGTAACTCAAGACTTTGGTTGTAAGTTAAAACTAAAATGCCAGTTGTAACTCCAGTTGTTTGTACATCAGGCCAGTCGTAACTAGAGGGTTCACTGTATTTCAGTAACAAGGATAGTTTTCAGGTTGCTTAACTACTTTAGCCATGACTTAGCCTCCTTCCTTGGAATCAGATCAGTGAGGGGCAGATAGATGACTGCCTCCTGCTGGCCCCTAACTAGTATGAGGTTTGGTTTCCCAGGCTGATCACTATGCTGCCAGTGCTTTAACACATGGACTTAAGAATTTTTGCATTTACCATCAAACAAAAACAAACACGTACCTCTTTGTCTGTGAAATGAGATTTATCCTTCTCTTGTTCTGGTGTTAAATAGAGAATTTTCTCCTCTGTAGTATTAAAAGGGAAAAATGTGTTACCCTGGTTCTCTTATACTTAGGTAAAGCCCCACAAGATGAAATCAGATGAGAAAAGGGCTCCTGGACTCATTCTTTTTTTTTTTGGTACCAGGGATTGAACTCAGGTCCTTGTGCTTGCTGGACAGGCGGCAAAACCTGAGCTAAATCCCCGGCCCCCTGGACTCATTCTATCAACCTCCTTTCTACAAGTATCTTGGCATGCACTGAGCATCTACCAGGTATGCTGCTCCTACCATAAGGAAACATCAAAGGCACCAAAGATATAGTCCTAGTCCTCAGCAAATCTAAGGCACTGAACAGGTCAAGTAGAAAAATCTAGATAGTTATGGCTGCTACACTAAAAGTGGGGAGCATGAGGGTGTTCCTGATTGCTCCTGAAATCAGCCAGCCTTCCTCAATGTTCATCCAGGCTTCCCAAACACACACGAAAGAAACAAAGAGTAACCATACTTTCTAATTCTCTTACCTTCTGTGCCTTGGCAATGAAGAACATATCTCATTATATCCAGATTTTCATAGACTATTAGAATCTCTACAGCTCCCATTTCCAAAGCTTTTAGTGTATCTTCAACTCCAAAACAGTACTTGCCCGTGTCCTGGCTAATTTCATCGAAGTATCGTCCTATGAATTAGGGACAAGACAATAAAACAGTTGGCTTTTGTATTCAACATTCAGCATATTGTGAACTGAAACTATTCAGAAGGTTACATTTTGCTGATGTATATTATGTAGTTAGGCCCATGATGGTTGCACCTGTACTCAACATATGCAAACATGTTACTCTCCAAACAACACAGTAGAACAATTACACAGCATCTGCACTGTATTGGTATTATAAATAATCTAGAGATAAACACTACACTATTTTGCTTCAAAGGTCTTGGCATATGTGGATTTGGATATTCATAGGGTATTGAAATCAATCCTCTGAAGATACTGAGGGATAACTGTATATTGTATTTTCCCTTATAGCTACACATTTATTAGACCTAATGACTAAAGATTAAAAATGATTCCATGGAGGAAGAAAATTAAAAAAAACAATTTTATTTAATTGTTTTTTTGAGACAGGGTCTCACTATGTAGTTCAGGCTGGCCTTACACTCACTATGTAGCCCAGGCTGGCCTTGAACTCACAGCGATCCTCCTGCCTCAACCTCCACAGTGCTGGGATTACAGGTGCGTGCCACTATGGCCCACTAAAAAACTTTAATAAAAATGTCTGATCTTCATTTTAACTTTTTCATGTCTTGGGGCCGGGGATTTAGCTCAGTGGCACTGTGCCTGCCTCACAAGCACAAGGTCCTGAGTCCAATCCCCTGTACCACAAAAAAAAAAACCAAAATCAAATCAAAACAAACCTACCAACAGAAAAACCAAACAACGAAAACTCCATGCAAAAAACTTAGTTTTTTCTAATTTCTTGGTAACTTTTTCATGTCTTACTCTACACACATAATCACGTACACACCTATATATATACACAAACAATATGCAAAATAGTTGCACATTATTGATACCTATTAATTTCTTCTCTTGAATGAATTTCACGTTGGAGAGGACTTCAGTAGATAACTCAATAGCTTGGTTGAATCCATTTTCACCACCATAGGATATATCAACTAACTTTAAAACTTTCGATTGCAACCTCTTGACACAATTAAAACAAAAACAAAAACATTAGCAGTTCAGAAGATCTTTATAAAGTCTATTGCTTAAAGGCAACAAACCTCAACTTTATGATCACTGAAGTCTAAATGAGAAAGAAGCCTAGTTTATTCAAAAGCTGCTATTGCAGTGAACGACACTACCAGGGCAAACTTTCAGAGCTAATTATATCACACATTCTGTTTGACCTACTACACAAGAATTCATTATATCAAACAATAATAAATTTCTTGTGAATGAAATGGAGAGCAACTGGCTCTTGGCAATAAGGTGACAAAGAATACTTTGGAAATGTGTCATGGCTGTGTCTGTGTCATAAAACAAAAGATCCTCTGGATTAAATGTTTTGGTATTAATCAGTTCTGTCATATTGTTACGTGTCACTGCTTTATTTATGTCCAGGAGTAAGTCAGCAAAGACAGTAAAAAACAACTTCTAGGCTGGGGATTTAGCTTAGTGGTTACTACTACCTGCCTCGCAAGCACAAGGTCCCGAGTTTGATCCCCAGTACAAAAACAAATAACAAAAAATAACTTCTAGTTTCTCTGAAACTAAAACACTTTAAAGTTGATTATGGTAATGTAATTTTTTTTTTGGTACTGCGGATTGAACTCAGGACCTTGCGCTTGTGAGGCAGGCATGGTGCCACTGAGCTAAATCCCTGGTCCCAATTATGGTAACTTACTAAAGCAGCCATCTCCATAGGGCCTGTAAGGGTCCCACCTAAAAATGGTTAATTTAAAGACAGGCCAGAAAAGCACAAGGGAATGTTCTCAAATGAGTGTCTGCAAACCTATACCATTTAACTCAGAGCTAGGTTTTTATTTCAAATCTGGGGCCTTGTACATACTAGGCAAATACTGTCACTGAGCTATATATCCCTAGCCCTAAGAGCTAGGTTCTTCCCCCTGGGGGGATGGGTGGGGTGGTGCCATTATTATTTGGTTTTACTGTGATTTACATTCAATTTTCCCATTTCTTTCTTTCTTTCTTTCTTTTTTTTTGTACCGGGGATCAAACTCGGGTCCTTGCGCTTGCGCAGCAGGCGGCGAAACCACTGAGCTAAATCCCTAGCCCTACATTCAATTTTCAAAATGCTGGGCACTCATTTAAGCAAAAG